AGCGGAAACCCAATCCTAAACAGGAAACAAGGATAAACCTCTACTCCTTTTCAAAAAAACCTATCTACTCGTACTGAAGGAAGAAAATAAATAAATAACATTTCATAGTTTAGGCAGAGATGTTAGACGTATAGAGTTGAAGTAGACTTTAGAAGGAACCAACCCAATCCTAAACAGAAACAAGGGATAAACCTCTACTCTATTCAAAAAAACCTATCTACTCCAACTGAAGGAAGAAAATAAATAAATAACATTTCATAGTTTAGGCAGAGATGTTAGAAGTATAGAGTTAAGTAGACTTTAGAAGGAAGCCCAATCCTAAACAGGAAACAAGGGATAAACCTCTACTCCTATTCAAAAAACCTATCTACTCCAACTGAAGGAAGAAAATAAATAAATAACATTTCATAGTTTAGGCAGAGATGTTAGAAGTATAGAGTTGAAGTAGACTTTAGAAGGAAGCAGAACCCAATCCTAAACAGGAAACAAGGGATAAACCTCTACTCCTTTCAAAAACCTATCTACTCCTTCTGAAGGAAAAAATAAATAAATAACATTTCATAGTTTAGGCAGAGATGTTAGAAGTATAGAGTTGAAGTAGACTTTAGAAGGAAGCGGAAACCCAATCCTAAACAGGAAACAAGGGATAAACCTCTACTCCTTTTCAAAAACCTATCTACTCATTCTGAATGAAGAAAATAAATAAATAACATTTCATAGTTTAGGCAGAGATGTTAGAAGTATAGAGTTGAAGTAGACTTTAGAAGGAACCAAACCCAATCCTAAACGAAACAAGGATAAACCTCTACTCCTTTTCAAAAACCTATCTACTCGTACTGAAGGGAAGAAAATAAATAAATAACATTTCATAGTTTAGGCAGAGATGTTAGAAGTATAGAGTTGAAGTAGACATTTGAAGGAACCATAAACCAAATCCTAAACAGGAAACAAGGGATAAACCTCTACTCCTATTCAAAAAACCTATCTACTCGTACTGGAGGAAGAAAATAAATAAATAACATTTCATAGTTTAGGCAGAGATGTTAGAAGTATAGAGTTGAAGTAGACTTTAGAAGGAACCGGAAACCCAATCCTAAACAGGAAACAAGGGATAAACCTCTACTCCTATTCAAAAAACCTATCTACTCGTACTGAAGGAAGAAAATAAATAAATAACATTTCATAGTTTAGGCAGAGATGTTAGAAGTATAGAGTTGAAGTAGACGTTAGAAGGAACCAGAAACCCAATCCTAAACAGGAAACAAGGGATAAACCTCTACTCCTATTCAAAAAACCTATCTACTCCTACTGAAGGAAGAAAATAAATAAATAACATTTTATAGTTTAGGCAGAGATGTTAGAAGTATAGAGTTGAAGTAGACTTTAGAAGGAACCAGAAACCCAATCCTAAACAGGAAACAAGGGATAAACCTCTACTCCTATTCAAAAAACCTATCTACTCGTACTGAAGGAAGAAAATAAATAAATAACATTTCATAGTTTAGGCAGAGATGTTAGAAGTTTAGAGTTGAAGTAGACTTTAGAAGGAAGCGGAAACCCAATCCTAAACAGGAAACAAGGATAAACCTCTACTCCTATTCAAAAAAACCTATCTACTCGTACTGAATGAAGAAAATAAATAAATAACATTTCATATTTTAGGCAGAGATGTTAGAAGTATAGAGTTGAAGTAGACTTTAGAAGGAAGGAAACCCAATCCTAAACAGGAAACAATGGATAAACCTCTACTCCTATTCAAAAACCTATCTACTCCTACTGAAGGAAGAAAATAAATAAATAACATTTCATAGTTTAGGCAGAGATGTTAGAAGTATAGAGTTGAAGTAGACTTTAGAAGGAAGCAGAAACAATCCTAAACAGGAAACAAGGGATAAACCTCTACTCCTATTCAAAAAACCTATCTACTCGTACTGAAGGAAGAAAATAAATAAATATCATTTCATAGTTTAGGCAGAGATGTTAGAAGTATAGAGTTGAAGTAGACTTTAGAAGGAAGCGGATACCCAATCCTAAACAGGAAACAAGTGATAAACCTCTACTCCTATTCAAAAAACCTATCTACTCGTACTGAAGGAAGAAAATAAATAAATAACATTTCATAGTTTAGGCAGAGATGTTAGAAGTATAGAGTTGAAGTAGACTTTAGAAGGAAGCGAAACCCAATCCTAAACAGGAAACAAGGGATAAACCTCTACTCCTATTCAAAAAACCTATCTACTCAACTGGAGGAAGAAAATAAATAAATAACATTTCATAGTTTAGGCAGAGATGTTTGAAGTATAGAGTTAAGTAGACTTTAGAAGGAAGCAAACCAATCCTAAACAGGAAAACAAGGGATAAACCTCTACTCCTTTTCAAAAAACCTATCTACTCATTCTGAAGGAAGAAAATAAATAAATAACATTTCATAGTTTAGGCAGAGATGTTAGAAGTATAGAGTTGAAGTAGACTTTAGAAGGAAGCGGAAACCCAATCCTAAACAGGAAACAAGGGATAAACCTCTACTCCTATTCAAAAAACCTATCTACTCGTACTGAATGAAGAAAATAAATAAATAACATTTCATATTTATGCAGAGATGTTAGAAGTATAGAGTTGAAGTAGACTTTAGAAGGAAGCGGAAACCCAATCCTAAACAGGAAACAAGGGATAAACCTCTACTCCTATTCAAAAAACCTATCTACTCGTACTGAAGGAAGAAAATAAATAAATAACATTTCATAGTTTAGGCAGAGATGTTAGAAGTATAGAGTTGAAGTAGACTTTAGAAGGAAGCGGAACAATCCTAAACAGGAAACAAGGGATAAACCTCTACTCCTATTCAAAAAACCTATCTACTCGTACTGAAGGAAGAAAATAAATAAATATCATTTCATAGTTTAGGCAGAGATGTTAGAAGTATAGAGTTGAAGTAGACTTTAGAAGGAAGCGGATACCCAATCCTAAACAGGAAACAAGGGATAAACCTCTACTCCTATTCAAAAACCTATCTACTCTACTGAAGGAAAAAATAAATAAATAACATTTCATAGTTTACAGAGATGTTAGAAGTATAGAGTTGAAGTAGACTTTAGAAGGAAGAAAAATCCTAAACAGGAAACAAGGGATAAATCTACTCCTATTCAAAAAACCTATCTACTCCCTACTGAAGGAAGAAAATAAATAAATAACATTTCATAGTTTAGCCAGAGATGTTAGAAGTATAGAGTTGAAGTAGACTTTAGAAGGAAGGGAAACCCAATCCTAAACAGAAACAAAGGGATAAACCTCTACTCCTATTCAAAAAACCTATCTACTCGTACTGAAGGAAGAAAATAAATAAATAACATTTCATAGTTTAGGCAGAGATGTTTAGAAGTATAGAGTTGAAGTAGACTTTAGAAGGAAGCGAAACCCAATCCTAAACAGAAACAAAGGAATAAACCACTACTCCTATTCAAAAAACCTATCTACTCGTACTGAAGGAAAATAAATAAATAACATTTCATAGTTTAGGCAGAGATGTTAGAAGTATAGAGTTGAAGTAGACTTTAGAAGGAAGCGGAAACCCAATCCTAAACAGGAAACAAAGGGATAAACCTCTACTCCTATTCAAAAAACCTATCTACTCGTACTGAAGGAAGAAAATAAATAAATAACATTTCATAGTTTAGGCAGAGATGTTAGAAGTATAGAGTTGAAGTAGACTTTAGAAGGAAGCGGAAACCCAATCCTAAACAGGAAACAAGGGATAAACCTCTACTCCTATTCAAAAAACCTATCTACTCGTACTGAAGGAAGAAAATAAATAAATAACATTTCATAGTTTAGGCAGAGATGTTAGAAGTATAGAGTTGAAGTAGACTTTTTAGAAGGAAGCGGAAACCCAATCCTAAACAGGAAACAAGGGATAAACCTCTACTCCTATTCAAAAACCTATCTACTCGTACTGAAGGGAAGAAAATAAATAAATAACATTTCATAGTTTACAGAGATTTAGAAGTATAGAAAGTAGACTTTAGAAGGAAGCAGAACCAATCCTAAACAGGAAACAAGGATAAACCTCTACTCCTATTCAAAAAACCTATCTACTCGTACTGAAGGAAGAAAATAAATAAATAACATTTCATAGTTTAGGCAGAGATGTTAGAAGTATTGAGTTGAAGTAGACATTAGAAGGAACCAGAAACCCAATCCTAAACAGGAAACAAGGGATAAACCTCTACTCCTATTCAAAAAACCTATCTACTCTTACTGAATGAAGAAAATAAATAAATAACATTTCATAGTTTAGGTGGAGACGTTAGAAATATAGAGTTGAAGTAGACTTTAGAAGGAAGCGGAAACCCAATCCTAAACAGGAAACAAGGGATAAACCTCTACTCCTATTCAAAAAACCTATCTACTTCTACTGAAGGAAGAAAATAAATAAATAATATTTCATAGTTTAGGCAGAGATGTTAGAAGTATAGAATTGAAGTAGACTTTAGAAGGAACCTGAAATCTAATCCTAAACAGCTAACAAGTAATAGACCTCTATACCTATTAGGAGTAAATGGTTGTGTCATCAGCGTTGACACATAATTCGATCGTGTTTCCCTATCTAACATAGAATTTTTCAACAAAAAAGGCATAAAAAAGATCGTGTTTTCATGTTTAAAATAACTGTTTCCTACTAATGAATACCTAAAATGTAAGAATTAGCGTCCCTTAATTCCGACCGAGTTCGCTCAAATATACTAGTATACATCTCTTCTTCAGCAGTTCGTAATCACTTAGTATTTATGTACTCAGAAATGGCAAGAATATTTCGCCCCTCATGTATGTGTTAAATAGCAAGACTTTTTTTATATATATTTGATAGGTCAACAAGTGTAAAATGAAAAACCTGAATCCTGAAGTTGAATTCCATCAGACTCTCTTATCTTAGATCCACAATTATTGCTATGGCTGCAGTAGATTTCGTCCTTTTACGACCTGAATAGTTTAAAGAACTGGTGATGTGGCCAACAGCTTTTTCTTGTGTCCAATTCTTCTCTTTGTCTATTTTCAATATTCCTCCAACTCTTGTAATTATTGTCATTCGTATCCCACCTTCCTTGTCTACATCACTTTCGGCAGCACTCGTTCTCGACATTCAGGGAATGTGTGTCCCATTAGATAATCTCAGAATAGTTTGAAATACAATTCTTTATTGGATTCATTATTTGTGATCTCACTTCATTTCGGCGAAAGCTGACCCCACACCAATAAGCAATTAACATTCACGTTTCTCGGTCAAACGAAAAATCTTCGAATTATAATTAACAAAAAAGTTATTACTTTATCTTCAAATTTATTTATGTGATGCATTCTTTACCAGTACAAGCCGGTTCTTCTCTCCCTGTCTCTCATCCTTTGTTCTATCTATCTATCTATCTATCTATCTATCTATCTATCTATCTATCTATCTATTCATAGCAATCTCAGTATGGGCAATATCTATCTATCTATCTATCTATCTATCTATCTATCTATCTATCTATATTTTTCAGTCTGTATATATATCTATCTCTATCTATCTATCTATCATTTCAGTCTGTTCATATCTATCTATCTTTTTCTATTATCAGTTTGTTCATATCTATCTATCTATCTATCTATCTATCTATCTATCTTTTCTATCTATCTTTTTTATAGTCTTTCATATCTATCTATCTATCTATCTATCTATCTATCTATCTATCTATCTTTTCAGTCTGTTCATATCTATCTATCTTTTTCAGTTTATTTCTATCTATCTATCTATCTATCTATCTATCTATCTATCTATCTATCTATGTTAGAACCCCATGGCTACTTACACGGACAAGCAAACTGCTTTCGTAATACTTATATTCTGTCTGTTACTGACAAGAAAATCTGAAACCGCCAATTATTTTATTTTCGGTCATTATCGAAAATGGTTCTGTTCATTTTAGCAGCTTGAAGCTCATAAACGTGCCTTTAAGTAGAGGTAAACAACGCTGACATCCGATCCAATCACCCACAATAACAGAGCGACTACTTTGCTGATCTGTAATTATGACGGAGAATTCTCCAGGATTCTTCTTTTGGTGCTGACCGAGGCATTTGCAAACAACATTTGCTATTTGTATTATCGTCTGCCGTCCATCGCCTAAGCTTCTCTGCAGGCTGGGCTCGATTTTGAACCCCAATTCTGGTTTTATTTTTAGACAAGGAAACCATTTTTTTTATCATTTTCCTAGGCGACTAATTTAGGCAATCATTTTTTTTAAATGGTTTCAAAATTACACCTTCTCCTCATCTACAATTCCAAATACGACAAGAATAAATAGCAGACCCCACACAAACCGCGTGTCGAGTGCTTTTATTACGTTACAATCCTTTATGCTCCACATAATAGGATATTTTTGTGGAGACCATTTTGGTACGGACATCTTTTTAAGGCTGAGTATCAAATTATATATATATGTATATATATATATATATATACAAATAAAAGAAAGAACAGATGAAGTAAAATTTCCTTGTTCAGAGCATTTACTTTTTTTTTAGGAAACAAGTTTATTTTTAATTCTGAGCATATGTTTTCTTATTCCGTCCCAATTTTATTTCGTAAAAGAAAGTAACATTTTGCTTTTGAAATTTTAAAACATTTATTTAACTACTAGCCACTTACCTTTCCCCTGAAGAGGTACAAGATAGTCCCGAAACACAAAAAGATATTGTGTAGCGATTTCAACATGTTTTGTTTTAATATGTGAAATGAAATTACAATAATATATATATATTTTTCTTCTTTCTTTTTATGTATATATACATATTTTATTATATATATATATATATATATATATATATATATATATATGTATGTGTGTGTGTGTGTGCGTGTGTGTATCTGTATATATATATATATATATATATATATATATATATATATATATATATAAAAGGAAATGACGTAAACTACGTCTTCTTCCTTAATCAGTTTAATAACGACACAAAAATTTCAACTGTGAATCTGGATATATTATGTCCATTTATTTGTATTACTAGCAGCATGACTCGGCGTTGCCCGGGCTTGATTCAAAAATCGTACGACTCATACAGCAATCGCTATCAGATTGACTTAAAATATTTTTGCCCTTCCTTGCCTTTAAAGGAGTGCCCTTTGCTGTGCTGATGTTGCTACATGCCTTACTTCTTGACACACTGCGAATTTTTCTAAGCTCTATACTAAACATTTTTCTAAGCTCTATACTAAACATTAAATCTGTGACGAAAAAAGAACTAAACAAAATGAATACAAAACGATCAGCTTTAAAAAAGGACTCGTAACTGGAAAAACCGAATGAAAAAAGAATGTTAACAACAAATACTTTTGCACACCCAACCCAGTTCTGCGGAATCAGAATCAACGTTGAGGTTAAGCAAGCGAATGAGCCAATTGGAGTAAAGTGCCATGCAGATTTAAACTTTTCCACTTGTGGTGAATGCAGCTATCGATTTTTTTTTGCATGCTAGCATGCTAGTTAACATTCGTGACAGTCAGCTGTTGGCTCTCACGCTGGCCAATAGAATTTTTCTCCCTTTTCGTGACAGCCAGCTATATGTTCTCACTCTGGTCACTACAGAATGGCCGCAAACTACATGAAAACTGCCGTAGAAACAAGAAAAAATCTATTATTTCCACTATCGATGGAAGTTGGGAAAGGCAAAATCGCTTTTGGCCATCTCGTTAACTTGGAGTATGTGCATATAAATTTTGGTGCAAATTCGTCGAAAATTGCGACCGTGCATTCATCACACACACACACACACACACACACACACACACCTTTAAAGATACACACACACACACACACACATTATAATTAAAAGATATAGACATAATATAGGCAGATTATTCCAAATAAATAGACATATATATCCAGATTATTCATATATATATATATATATATATATATATATATATATATATATATATATATAGATCGAGAGAAAGAGAGAGAGAGAGATTAAGAGAGATATGGGTAAATCGCGCGTTACAACAACGAAAATTAAGTCGCACTTCAAACGGAGATATATGTATATTTATTAATACATCTATATATATATATATATGTGTGTGTGTGTGTGTGTGTGTGCATATATATATCTATATATATATATGTGTGTGTGTGTATGTGTGTGTGCGCGAGCTCGCGCGTGTGTGTGTATTTAGGCAGCAATCCTTCTTTCATGTACATTTCATTGAATACGACAGGCAAGGTGCTTTGATTTATTTTTTTTTATACAATTTCTCCTGTCAGTTTTGCAATTTTTTATCCGAGCACTTTCGACTTTACATTTAGCCATTTTCAAGGTTGAAATATATTAACTGTTAAAAAGAAATAGATTGT